CGAATATTCTTAGCACAATGCGAAGGATATTTTGCTATTAAAGGATATGGAGATCAACATGATGAGATCAAGATTCCATATGTGGAATCTCTGCTCAGAGGACCCACGGGGCAATGAATCATGCCTTTCCAAGATGGAAGGAAGCAGAGGGAATGGGTCACATATGAAGAGTTCAAGGCGACACTCTTCGAACAATTTGGAGATCCCAATACCAAAGAAACAGCAAGATGAAAGCTAGAAAAACTTCAGCAAGGAAAACAAACATTTTCAGCATACTGGAACGAATGCCGACTATTGGAATACGAGGCCAAGTTTGATGATGCTACTCTCTACATCATCCTCCTGAGAAACTGTAGCGAGAGACTCCGAGAGGCATGGGGAATCTCTGACCTGCACTATATGACAGCCGAACGATTTACAAGATGGGTAATAGATAAAGAAAGCAAATTAAACATGGTTCGAAGCAACTCGGAAAACACTATAGCGCACAGAGTGGTTCAATCATCTAGGAATGTGGATGGGACCTTTAAACTACAAGCACCTCGAGGAGAAAGCCGAGCATTACCACCAGGCGAGCCAATGGAGTTAGACAAATCAAGAGCAGGACCGGCTCTGAATCTGTCTAAGGCAGAGTACGCCAGAAGAATGAATGGGAAACTCTACCTAAGGTGCGGAAAAGCAGGACATCGGATACGAGAATGCAGAAGCCGACCGGACAATAGATACCAAGGAAACAGAGCTGCTGGAAATAATCGTTTCCAAAATCAAAAAAGAAGCAACATTCGCGAAATGATAGCAGAAGATTCACCGGTGGAAAACGACGAGGGTCCCCAGTAAACGGTGGTCTGGGAGACCCAAGATGTGGACCTGGAAAACCCATCAAATTAGCAAACTACTACACGGCACTACACAGAAAAAGAGAGAAAGAAGATGGAGATCACGTAATGATCAAAACAAAGATATACAACGAAGAAAACAAAGAAACAACAATATATGCAATGCTCGACTTTGGGGCCACCGAAGACTTCATCGACAAAGAAATATGCGACAAATACGGCCTCCACACCAAACAAGTGAAGAAAGCAAGACAAGTCTACTTAGCGGATGGAAAACCCAGCGCTATGGGTCCTATAACCCATACGGCGACAGTACCTATGGACATTGACAGCCATAGGAAAATGGCAACCTTCCAAGTAGCAGATCTGAAAAACCATGAGATAGTCCTAGGGATGCCATGGTTACGAAAACATAATCCGACGATCGATTGGAACGAGAATAAGACAACCTTTACAAGCGAAATATGTGCGACACAATGTCTCAACAGTTCGCCTGTGGTCTACTCAATACCGATACGGGAAGCGGAAGAAGAAACTTTGCATGCAAAGTTCGCCGAGATGCGGCAAGATAAGAGAGTCCGGATACAAAGGTTGGACCAAGAGGCAAAAGTGCCTACCCAGGGTTCCAAAGGGGCAGCAGGACACGACCTATACGCCAACGAAGGAATCAAGATACCGGCCAATGAGCAGGCAATGATAGTGACGGGAATAGCCATTGGACTCCCAAAGGCAGCTATGGACGAATAGCACCCCACAGTGGTCTAGCAGTCAAACATCGGCTCATGACCATGGCAGGTGTGATCGACGCTGACTATACAGGTGAAATAAAAGTGGTCCTGGCCAACCTATCCCAATAGGACTACCAAGTCCAGAAAGGCGATCGAATCGCACAGTTGATAATTGAAAAAATCAACCAAAAGGATCTGCATGAAGTAGATCAACTGGAGGAAACCACAAGAGGAAATAAGGGATTTGGAAGCACAGACCAAAACGAGCTCGATACAACAAAAAGAATTAAGATCAAAGAGATCACAGCACAAGCCTTTGGACGGTACTATCGAAGAGGAGATACCACAGGAATTCTCAAATGGACATACGAAGACGATAAAGCAGTTCTAGCAAAAATCAACATCAGCACAGAGCTAGCAATCCAGGACAAGAAATACCAAAGCAAAAAAGGATGGAAAGAATTGGTTCCAAAAGAATTTCACCAATTCACAAATCTATTCCAAGAAGAGGAAGCTACAGAGCTACCACCTCGAAGACCAGGAATCGATCACGAAATTCAGCTGGACAAAGATGAAAAAACCGGAAAGATAAAAGAGATTCCCTACAAGAAGTTATACCCCCTAGGAGAAGCAGAGCTTGAAGAACTTAGGAAGTACATTGAGCAAAACCTAAAGCGAGGATGGATCAGAGACTCTTTTGCGTCAGGAGGATTCCCAATACTATTCGTCAAAAAGAAAGTCGGAAAAATGAGACTTTGTGTGGACTACAGAGTCCTCAATTCGGTTACCAAGAAAGACCGATATCTGCTACCCTTGATTGGAGAAGCACTGGACAGACTACGGTCAGCAAAATACTTCACCAAACTCAACATCAAAGACGCGTACCACAATATACGCATCAATGCAGGAGACGAATGGAAGACTACATTCGCCTCAAGATACGGAATGTTCGAATTCTTGGTTATGCCCTTCGGGCTAACCAACGTACCAGCTTCATTCCAGAGATGGATCAACAAAGTCCTTAATAAGTACATCGACATATGTTGCATCATATACTTGGACGATGTACTCATATACTCGGAAAATATACAGCAACACCAAAAAGATATCAGCAATATCATGGCCGCAATACAAGGATCAGGAATGAAGATCAAACCAACAAAATGTGAATTCCATAAGGAAGAAACAGAATACCTTGGATTTATCATCAATCGAAATGGGGTCAAGGTTGACCCTGTTAAAATAGCAGCCATATGGGATTGGGCCAAACCAAACAACAAGACAGATGTTCAATGCTTTATGGGATTCTGCAACTTTTATCGAAGGTTCATAGAGGGATTTAGCAGGCTTGCAAAACCACTCTATAACCTAACCAAGAAAGACAAAAAGTGGGAATGGGGGGAAACTGAACAAAAAGCATATGATGCAATACGAACGCATCTAACATCGGCACCCATACTGGTTCATTTCGACCCAAACAGAAGGACAATGATCAAAACGGATGCTTCAAAATATGTATGCTCAGGCATACTATCACAACAATGCGACGATGGAAAATGGAGGCCAGTGTCCTATCGATCCAAGACAATGACCCCCGCAGAGTACAACTAGGATGTTGCAAACAAAGAACTATTAGCAATAGTTCAAGCATTAAAAGAATGGAGAAGATACGTTTCGAACAACGACCATCCAGTCCAAGTTCTAACCGACCACAAGAACCTGGTGCCGTTCATGACTACGAAAGAACTGAACGACCGCCAGATAAGATGGATGGAACACCTTACCAAATACAACTTCAAAATCGAATACTGACTAGGCAAAGAAAGTGGAAAGCCAGATGCTCTCACAAGGATTGCAAGCGACAAACCACAAACGAAAAAAGACGAAAGAATCAAACAAAAAATACGAACACTATTACCAAAAACCTACTTTGAGGCAATGGAGGTTATCCAATTCACATCAACGGAGGAAAGAGGAATCGAGAACGCAAACGAGAAAGACAAAATAATTCAGACAATAAGAGAAGCCTTGCAGGAAGGAAAGAAAGAGATGAAAGGAATTGCTCTGGGTTTATGCCAATGGAAGGACGGAAATATGTGATACGACGGAAAACAATGGATCCCGGAAGAAGAGGAGATAAGGACAAACATCATACGACAATACCACGATATCCGAATGGCAGGACACGGAGGAACGGCTAAAACCACGGAATTCATTACAAGGTCATTCTATTGGCCAGGACTGCGTGAAGACGTCAAACGATATGTCAAAAACTGCGACATATGCCAAAGGACGAAAATGGCTAAACACGCACCATATGGATTACTAAAATCAAACGAAGTTCCCAAACAACCATGGGAAACAATTACTATGGATTTCATCACGGACCTACCAGCATCGGAAAATTGCGATAGCATCCTGGTCGTGGTGGATCATCTGACCAAAATGAGCCATTTCATTCCGGTTAGAAAAGATATCAACACGAGGGATTTTATACAAACCTTCTTCAGAGAGGTTTTCTGACTTCATGGCCTACCCAAGAATATCATCACCGATCAAGGAACACTATTCACATCGGGACTATGGAAAAAAGTAAGCGGGGAAATGGGAATACAAAACAGAATGAGCACAGCGTTCCACCCACAAACGGATGGACAAATGGAACGAGTAAATGCGATACTCGAACAATATTTAAGAGCTTATGTCAACTATCAACAAGATGATTAGTACAAGCTGTTATCAATGGCCAAATTCGCATACAATAATGGAAAGCAAGAAATGATCGGCACCATACCATTCTTCGCGAATTACGGTCAACATCCACAAAGTCAGACCACATATTATATGATTAATGATGTGATACCAGAGAAAGCGGATATGGGAAAACTACATGAAACCTTGCAATACGAGATGAGTCAAGCACAACAACGGCAAAAAGAACAATACGATAAGCACCGAAGACCGGATCCGAACATACAACTGGGAGATATGGTATGGCTAATACCACATAATATCCATACGACACGACGATCAAAGAAACTGGACTACAAGAAAATCGGACCCTTCAGGATATTAGAAAAAGTGGACAGCCAAGCTTATAAACTCGACCTTCTCCCCTCAATGCTAATACACAATACATTCCACATCTCACTCCTCGAATTACACAATGACAATAAGTTTCCTTCCCAAACACTTATTCCTCTCCCTCCAATCGAACTCAACGGAGAACCAGAATATCAGCACGACGAAATAGTCGATTCCCGCTTCTTCCACGGTCACCTCCAATACCAAGCCAAGTAGACAGGATATTCTCCTGAATACGATAAAACTTGGTACTTCGCACACAACTTCGAAAACGCACAAGATACCATCTCAACCTTCCACCAGCGATACCCAGGCAAGCCCGGCCCAGGTGACAATTATGTTCAATCAAGACAAAGGCGAGGGAAAGACTCCTGCGCCATTGTAGCAACACGAGGACTGGGGCGATAGCCCCAGCCAAAATCACACCCACCAGCCCCAAATACTCATTCATGGGGCCAACCGATGAAGAACTCAAGGAAAGGGAAAGACAAGTACAGCATAATGCCATGTCATGGACGGTATGCTACGATGATGGTTGCCAATCACACTTTGGCGACCAAGAAGGCTCAGGATAGTTCCCGAGGGAATGTCGAAAGCGTGGCCTACACCCGGACCACGTTCTAAAGCATTGGCAACAATGCTTTAGAAATGGGTGCAGGATGCACAGCGCACAGAAAATATCTGCGGGATTCTACCCGCAGAAGGATGGAAGCAGAAAAGAGTTGGAAGGAGAAGATGCCAGAAAGGTATAGGCCGCGAGGACACGGTCCAGGGAGGGAGGAGCCCAAAACTCCTCCGCAGAGATGGAACCAGATGTCAGGAGCCTACACAGGCAGATCTGGGGACTCCGAGAAAAACTGGGCCAAGCCGAGGCCACAATTTCGGCAAACGACAAAATGATCGTGGAGCTAAGACAGCTGAACGACAATTAGCGGCAAACGATCGAAATGGCAAACCTGACTCTGGAATCGGTAAGGGTCAGATGGAGGATAGCCGATGAAATGTTCCACAAGCTGAGAAGGACCATGCGCTCGGCAGGATGGGAACTATTGAAACTGGGAGAAAAGACCTGATGGCACTCAGGCTTAGGAGGAGGGGAGCTAATGTCATGAACGTGGCTTAAGTAAGAAAAGGGTTTTCACGTAACGCATAGTTATGAGTCACAGGTACGTTATTGTTTTACACATATGACTCATTCGGGTCATATGATTTGTTATGTGTGGGATTTGTGATGCTTTCGCACATGGCTCAAGTATGAGTCATGGGACGTGCGCCTGATAAGTATGCCTTGCGAGTATGCCTTACGGGTAAGCCTCGTGCATATGATTGATGTTTTGCACATGACCTCATTATGAGGTCATGGGTTTCACGCATATGACTCAGTCGAGTCATATGACTTGTTTATTCCGTTATGATTGGTTTATGAGTTTTTGTACATGACCTCGCTATGAGGTCATGGGTTTTGAGCATGTGATCACTTTAGTCACATGATTAGTTTGTTATGATTTGGTTTTGCACATGTGACCACTTTAGGTCACATGACTACAGGCGGGAAGAATACTATATAAGGAGGCCGATGCGGCTGAGGAAGCTAGGTTCTTTACGCTTTATTCTAAGTACTTTTCCTACTTATTACTTTAACGAATATAAAACACCTTTACGATCTTTATCTTCCTTGCAACGTTATCATTACGCCAAGAAGTACTCGTCACAAAGACGAGTTAGAGAAAGATTACGATAGGCATTTCCGATAGAAGACAAAGTTCTTGTACTATCGGTAACGTAGGCAGAGGCCTAGAGCTATCGTAAGACAAAGAAAGAAGAAGACAGAAAAGATAAGTATCGTTCCCCATCGCCAAGAACTAACTATCTAAAAGGAGATCGTTACAGGAGGAGTAGATCAGGAAGAGGAGGAACGAGAAGAGGAAGAATGAAGATAAAACTATAGCGAAAACCATATCTGAGAGCTTCAACAGCTTCCTCCACTACCTCCCATTCCTGAATTTGATCCTTTCATTCATTCTATGCCAAAACGCAATCAACGTGCAGTACTTTCAGTTGATTTTGATATCGCAGGTGGGACATTAGGATATTTTCAATTGTTCTTTGATGAGTCCGTATTTCAACAACTCGCCATGAATACAAATCAATATGCCGTACTGAAAGGTGCTGTAACAATCCCTCTGCGGATAGTTAGTTCTTGGCGATGGGGAACAATACTTCCCTTCTTCTTCTTCTTTGTCTTATGATAGCTCTAGGCCTACGCCTGCGTTACTGATAGTACAAGACCTCTGTCTTCTATCAGGAACGTCTATCATAAGCTTTCTCTAGCTCTTCTTTATAAAGAGTTCTCTTTGGCGTAACAATAATAATGTTTGTGATAATTATAAAGAATGTAAAGATGTTTTATATTCGTTAAAGTAATAAGTAGGAAAAGTACTTAGAACAAAGCGTGAAGAACCTATCCTCCTCGGCCATACCGGCCTCCTTATATAGTATCCTTCCCACCTGTAGTCATATGACCAAAAGTGGTCACATGCGCAAAACTAAATCATAATAAACTAGTCATATGACCAAAGTGGTTACATGCTCAAAACCCATGACCTGGTAGCACGATCATGTGTGAAAACTCATAAACCAATAATAATACAATAAACAAGTCATATGACTCGAATGAGTCACATGCATAAAACCCATGACCTCACAACGAGGTCATGTACTAAATATAAATCATATGCGCAAGGCATACCCACAAGGCATACCCGCAAGGCATACTCATCAGGTGTACGTCCTATGACTCATATCTGAGTCATGTGCGAAGTCTATCAAACCATAACATCAGATGACCCAAATGTGTCATATGCGTAAAACAATAACATACCTATGACTCATAATTATGCATTATGTGAAAACCTTTTCCGTGCTGAGCCACATTCGTGACAGGTGCAGGAAATGTGACTGGGAGATTGCGTCCCTGGAAACCAACTTCAGCTGCTGAGTTAAAAATATTTTTTGGTATTATTATCTATATGAGTGTTTTTCCATCCTCTCGGGTGTCAGATTACTGGAAGCATGACAATAGTTTTCCTTCTCATTGTATAGAAATGTATCTCTCTCAAAACCGCTTTGAGCAACTAGAGAGATATTTTCATATTTCACTACCCTATCAGTATCTCCCCTGAGCTCAGTGGTATCAGAAATTTCAGCCTTTAGCTAGCACATTGGAAACGAGATACCAATTCTTCCTGTTACTGGCAAGTGATCTCGTGGTAGATGAAATGATAGTACAGTTTACTAGACTATTATCTCGTACCACTCTTATCCGTAGTAAGCCAACCCTTCAAGGATATAAGGTTTTAGCCTTATGTGGCTACAGATATACATATTTCTTTCTTTTCACCAATCGTATCGAATCTTTTGCTGAGCTTAACTCAAACTTCTATTCAGGTCCTTTGAGATTAGGTTCCACTTCATGTGCTGTTTACCAGCTGGCTTGCAGTCTGCCATCCTCCCAATTTTCTTTTACAATATATATGGACAACTACTTTACCAATATCCCACTCCTAAGGGCTTTAAGGGATAAAGGAATTAGCACATATAGTACCTCTCAACCTACTTCCGCTGAGTATCTAAAAGTATTTAAATTTGGTAAAACAAAGCCAATCTTTCCACTTAATACTGTCTCTGGAGTAGTGCAGAAAAATGTTTTAGTTTACTTATAGCAGGACAATAATCTTGTCCAATTTATAAGCACGGTATATAGGATTACTTCAGAGCATGAAAACTATCCTGATAAACAGCACCGATGACCTCAGACCACAAATACAAACTGCCAAAACATTCTACACTACTTTGGTGACCAGCCTCTTATCATTATACCAACACTAAAAATTGCGATTGATTATAACAACTACATGAACACAGTTGATTTAGCTGATCAGTATTGGAGCTACTATGCTACACAGATACGAGTTTTTTGAGTTTGGATGCTGGTTTTCTTTTAGCTTTTAGACACTATGGTAATCAATGCTTAGACATTAGCAAAGATATCAATACATCCTATTCCCAGCTCTTCAATTGAAGGCTGTTCTCCAACCCAAGCCTGCTCTATGAATCAAGACCACGCTTCAACCCAACCAAGTTACTACAGCCATTGAAATATTCGAATTTAGCTTGCACATTTATTGACATTTATTGGATACCAAAGCCTTAATCCCTCCCGTGCTGTAGAGCTAGAGACCATTGTTTCCAGATCTCAAGTCCCTGTTGCCAATAGTCAGTATTGTCCTGGGGTTATACCCTTAGGAAATAATTCCTTGAGTCGTCGAAGTGGTAAGTTTCTACAGTATCTTTTTGGTCCTAGACCTTATACTCATAATGTCCTGATATTTGTAAACACAACTGCTACTGCATACAGGCAATAAATCAACCGGCATCTTCCAATTCTAGTGGTATGTAAAAGCAGTTGTGTTTACAAATGTCAGGACATTACAAGTTCTCAGAAGCTTTTAATACTAAATTCTTTCTATATGATAGGGTATGTAGTGAAACATACTGAACTTCCATTGTCGCGAAAAGATTCTGGAAGGCATGCTCTTATTCGGGGTGAGAGACAAAAGCAGTTTCACTGCTTCTTTTACCCTTATGTTAGGAGAGGTGAAACTTTATCAGATATGGTACAGGAAAAGCTGGCTCTTCGGGGAAAGAAAAAGGATTATACATCTTTTTTGTGCTCATATTGCAATATTCCTCTTTGCAAAAACTTCTGCTTTACCTTATTTCATGAAAGCTAGTGTAATACACCCATGGTTTACACAGCTCTGATCCTTTCTCAATCTGGTATCACACATCATTTTTGAACAATACTAGGGTGCAACCGCAACCCTTAGTGAAAACCGCGAAATCAAATGAAGGGATAGGAACTGATGTCGTGTGAAAGGTGGGCCTTAAAAACAACCAAACTCAAACTTTCCGCAACCAGGGTAGACTAACCGGCACTCGATGAGTTAAAAGTGAGCAAAAAGTCCCCAGACGAAGCCCCAGAACCCTCAACCAGGAAAAGAGCTATCATCCCTTCATCTGATTTCGTTGCTTAAGCTAAAAGTCACCAGCCCAGATTAGTGCTGCACCAAACCAGATTCTATTTTGAAGAGAGAAATGATCTCCCAGATTATTCCCCAAATGACTGGGATGTCTAGACCAATTTAGAGTGTTGAACACTAACCTATTTGTGTAATCAGGAACAAATCTACACTGATCATCTCATTTCCATCATGGCCATGCTGAGCAGTACTGTACGAGTACTGAATCTTCTCTATTCTGGGCACTGCTATGGCAAGGCAAGTGTACTGTTTGTACCAAATAAAAAAATGGGAGCATTCTGTTGTAATTCTTGTTTGAAGTTGTAACTTACCTCTCCCTTGATTGAAGCTCTACTACCGGTAGGGGGGCTATTGAGCCCTATTTCTCCTACAGGAGAGCACGCCATAATTACCCATGACATGTGCTTCATACAAGAGAAAAAGAAAATCAACGAGAACAATACTACACAACATAGTAAAGAGAGAGGAAACGCGAGCGAGGAAACTAAACAAGTATCATACCGGTACTGTACTTGAAGTCTGGACAAACCCGCTGCCCACCCACCACCCTTTCTTGCCCTTCCCCTCCTCCCGGACACCGCTGTAAAAAAAAAAAACTCTGCCCCTCTGCAGATCCTTCTGTTATATTATCATAATATCATACCGATAGCTACTCCCCCCTCCCTGGTTCCAGAGAAACACCGAAAATTCAACAATGACCCCCACACGATTAATCACTCGCGCAATTCGTCGCCCTCGCTCAATAATACCCCCGCTCCGGCGACCAGTACTACTTCGTTTGGGCGGGCAGAGGTCCAACACTACAGATTCCCGTGAGCGGCCTACCGCGACCGCCACACCCACCGACAGTCGCAAGAAAGAAGTCCGATTAACCACGGAGGCGTAAATTCTCACCCCCCCACCTCAATGTTCCGGCTGACACGATTTCAGATACCCAAACATCAAGCGTGACAACCGGTTCGCGAAACTCACCCCCGAAGATGTCGCCCACTTCCGTTCAATCTGCTCAGTTCTCTCTGCCGAATCGGACGAAATTGAGGCCTTCAATACGGACTGGATGCGCAAGTACCGGGGCCAAGCGAGATTAGTCCTGAAACCAAAGTCTACCGCCGATGTTTCTGAAATCCTCAAGTACTGCAATTCCCGCTCGCTCGCTGTAGTTCCACAAGGCGGTAACACGGGATTGGTGGGAGGATCGGTACCGGTTTACGACGAGATCGTTATCTCCATGAACGCTATAAACAGTATCCGCTCTTTCGACCCGGTTTCGGGGATCTTAATTTGCGATGCTGGTGTTGTTTTGGAAACGGCGGATAATTACCTTGCTGATCAGGGACATATCTTCCCGTTAGATCTTGGCGCTAAGGGGTCTTGTCATATCGGGGGGAATGTTGCCACCAACGCTGGTGGTTTGAGATTGTTGAGATACGGAAGTTTGCACGGAACAGTCCTTGGCGTTGAAGCGGTCTTGCCGGATGGAACAATTCTAGATGATCTATCTACCCTCAGAAAGAACAACACCGGATACGACCTCAAGCAGCTATTCATTGGTTCAGAAGGTACCATCGGGATTATTACCGCAGTGTCGATAATATGCCCCTCGAGACCCAGCGCACAGAATGTGGCCTTCTTCGCTGTAAATACCTTCGAAAAAGTGCAGGAAGCCTTTATCCGGGCCAAGAGAGAGTTGGGAGAAATTCTCTCAGCTTTCGAACTTATGGATGACACAAGTCAACGATGCGTCGCACAAGTCACAGGAAAAAAGAGACCGCTAGAGGGCGAGGAAACTAAGTTCTACGTCCTTGTAGAAACCAGCGGGAGCAACAAAGAACACGACGATGAGAAGCTCGAAAAATATCTGATGGCCTCAATGGAGGACGAAACCATCGCCGATGGGGTCCTAGCCCAAGATGAGACACAGGCACGCAACCTGTGGTCGTGGAGAGAAGGTATCCCGGAGGTCTGTGGTCACTGGGGTGGAGTATACAAGTACGACGTCTCAATCCCGCTAAAAGAGCTCTACTCGCTTGTGGAGGATGTCAAGGCAAGACTCATTGAGCACGGGCTGCTAGGGGAAGACAAGCCTGTGGTCGACGTTCTCGGATTCGGCCACATAGGAGACGGCAACCTCCACTTGAACGTACCTGTGAGATCGTACGACAGGTGCGTCGAGGAAGCACTTGAGCCATTTATCTACGAGTGGATAGAGAAGAGGAGCGGTAGTATCAGTGCTGAGCATGGGCTTGGTGTCGCTAAGAGGGAGTATGTACAGTATTCCAGAGGAGAGACCGCGCTGGGTGTCATGAGGAGCTTGAAGAATCATTTCGACCCGGTACGACCTGCCTCCCCCATCCCCACCCAACACCATATTGCTCACGCTTTAGCAGAAAGGAATCATGAACCCATACAAATACATCAAAACATAAATCCAGAATTCTAATCTTCTTTCTAACCTTTCCTCTTTTCCCATGAGGCGTGCGCGTCCTATTTGAGCTAGTATACCAGAGAGTTCTGTTGAAACATACTTCTCGCACTACTGTAGTGTCACTCCTACTACTGATATTTTCTCCTTACATTAAACCTGATGGTACATCCAGACCTCCTGGACTATTGAAGATATCTCCTTGCCTTTCTCACACACCTCTTTTCTCTATTATTGTTATTGTTCACTCAAGCTATTTGTCTTGCTCCAAAACAGTAGATAGTCAGGGTCTTCAGCTCTTCACTTTGAAAGCATCAAGCATTCAAGTTTCTCAAGCAATCAATTACTTCTTCACATCTCGTATCGTCGTTCTATCCAACATTCTCACAACAAGTTCTCCAAAGCTATATTCGAGTGACATCCTGTGACTGCTTTTACAGAGTGAAGTGTCCGAAGGCGCAGATGCACTTCACATGCGACAAGAAAACACTTTGGAAAGAAGGCACCCCATACGGTGGGATAGTATTATTGGGGTGCAGACGCCTCACCAGATCACGGGACGACACTAATCTGATAATAGAACAGCGCAAAGCTGAGTGAGATGTACCAGTACAAGCAGCAAGTAGAGTGGGGGTGCCCTCAGCGAGGCTCGGCAGAATAGATGTGGAGTTTAGGGAGCTTAGTCCAAGAGCTCCTCGGAAGAAGCAGATACCGTATTAACTCGTCAAATTGAGTATCTCCGTACAGGGATAGTATCTCCGGTGGCGGTCTTGGCTGGCCCTTTCCGGGTGATCATTCATGGGTTGAGAACGTCTTATGGTAGCTTTACTAGAACGGTAGAACAAAAGAAATGTCTAACTAAGAACATGTCTCTCCATCTGCCAGAAATTCAATATCCTCGTGATTATCATGACCTTCTTCAACATCGGCAAAAGGATCCTGGTTGTCAGCCTTCGGCCAATCCCCTACTTCTAACTCAGTAAAACTATTAATATCAAGCTCACTATTACATAAGCCATCTGGTTGAAGTGACAAACCCACTTTGCGGAAAGCTTGTGAAATAATTTTAGACTTTTCTGTATGAAATTTGTAAAAAGCATCTCCCGCACACCAAGTAGTAAGAATCCTTCATTGTCTTATACTCTATTTTTCTATCTCTTCCAACTCTTCACAGTCAAGAATAGCTTGATCTGTAAGATCTCTCATAATTTCTTTTAGCTGTTTGTTAATAGAAACATCAAGAGGTTGAACAAAACTGGTACAACCTCTAGGGATAAAGGATGGGAGTATTAGGTTCTCACAAAGGGTAGTGAGCATACCAGGTGTTTTGTGGGAGCTTATTTAGTTGAGAGTAAAGAAGCTAGGGTGGCATTGAAGGGCAGGAGTGAAGTGGTCTGCAATGTAACGTAAAAAAAGCTCTTTATTTATCTAGGCTTGGGGATTAAATTCCACTAAAATCCCAGGATGATATTGATTGAACTCATTACCGAGCTTACTCCTGGCCTCATGAAAGATTATTATAGGTAGAATTTGAGTAACTCCATTGGCAAAATCACAAAGAACAAGGCTAGCTTCCGGTTTATCCCAGCCTGAGCGAGTAGATTCTGCCCATACTGTCTTGGAACCTGTGGGTTCATATGTTTGGCCTTCTAGGTATTCAAAGGGGATCGGGGTTTCGTCCAAATTACATATATTTCCAAGTTTAAACTGACTAACAGGAAGTTTAGGGGTCATTATAATTGGCCAATAGGTGAGCAGACTTCCTTCTGGTTGCAAATTCCTTTGATTAAATCTTAACCATGATAATATCAGGTTTTAATATTCATTTGGTACACCCTGGGCCTTTTTAGTTATAATCTGTAAACTAATACGATAGCTTGATAGGAATCCAGAAAACTACCTATTGTTGAAGTGGAAAACTTCAATCCCTTTCGTATTCCTTTACTCTACCCTTTCCTCAACATGAACAAGTGCACACCCTCTGTCTCTCGTGAGATATAATTGCTGAAATAAAACAAAGAGTTATTTCGGAACCAGCTCTGATGAATAGGTTGGCCCCTCTCCCTCCACTGAAGAAATAGGTAATATTGCCTGGATTCAAGCTGTGGCCAATGTATCACCACCACCTTTGGTTTTAATTCTGATCTTACCTTCCATCCATTCTCAAAAGACTCTATCTTTTCCTGTTTTGAGATCTAGCAACTGATTATTGATAGTGGTTCCCAAATGACCTTAGAAGCTTCTCTTTAGGTTGAGGATTGGTATGGACATAAGATATCCACAGTAGGTATTCGATAATGGGCAAGAACAACAAGAACTCATATTTGCTGATGATGACTCCAGGATATCTCAGGCTGGACAATTGGCTTTATGTCAACCTCGTGAAGGGTTCATTGGGCAATTGATTTCGCTTTCAATTTATGATGGACTTTTTTTACCATATTTTGAATCATATTTGCTGTCATTGGGCTCATATAGGCTTGAAGATTCATTTGGGATATACATTGTACTACTTCAAACTACATGAAAAGATTTCTTTCTCTATACATGTAACAATCTCGTTTCAGATGGTTAGTTCTTAGCGATGGAGAATGATACTTCTCTTCTACTTCTTTCTAGTCTTACAATAGCTCTAGGTATATGCCTATATTACCGATAGTACAAGACCTTTGTCTTCTATCGAGAATGCGTATTGTAAGCTTTCTCTAACTCTCCTTCATGAAGAGTTCCCTTTAGTGTAATAATGATAAGGGTCGTGATAATGATAAAGAGCATAAAGGTATTTTATGTTCGTTATTGTAATAAATAGGAAAAGTACTTAGAACAAAGTTTGAAGAACCTATTTTCCTTGGCTGTACCAGCCTCTTTATATAGTGTTCTTTCCGCCTCAAATCATGTAACCAAAGTGGTCATATGCTCAAAATCCATGATCTCATAGTAAGGTTATGTGCGAAAACTCATAAATCAATCATAACATAATAAACAAGTCATATGACTCCAAGTAGTCATATGTGTGAAACCCATGATCTCATAATGAGATCATGCGCTAAATATAAACCATATGCGCAAGGCATACCTGCAAGGCACACTTGCAAGGCATACTCGTCTGGCGCATGTCCTATGAGTCACGCTCGAGTTATGTGTGAAACATAACAAATTCTAACATAACAAGTCATATGACTTGAATGAGTCATATGTGCAAAGCAATAATATACCTATGACTTATAACCATGCATAATATGAAAACCTTTTCCTTGCCAAGCTACATTCGTGACAATACAGGTATTTCTATTCTCTTCTTCCACTCTTAGGTCCTCAATTGAGTTATAAACTGACTACTTGTCCTAGGCAAGAAGCATCCGGAGCTCTATCAGAGAAAAAGTAAGAGCTGCGAACTAAAGGAATCTTCGATGATGTACTTGAGAAATCAAAAAAGTAACTATTTAACTAAGTGTATTGAAATACTGTATGTCAAAGTCTGCATTTTCTATCAGGAAATCAAGGGGTCTTTAAATACACAAATCTGTTCATGTCTAGCATGAACAGAACTAATCAAAAATATCAAGTAATACACTTTGGTAAAACCTTTTAAGTATTAAAAGCGATACTTGGAATAAAACATAAAATAAAACCAAGTATCAAAGCAATACTTAAAACAAAACATAAAACAAAACCAATGACCTAGTACCTGTACCGGTTACAATGGGAGATTAAAAATATTATCAGTCATGTTGTAACCGGTACGGGTACTCGGTTACTTAGTTTTGTTTTATGTTTTGTTTTAAGTATCGCTTTGATAATTGGTTTTGTTTTATGTTTTGTTTTAAGTATCGCTTTGATACTTGGTTTGTTTTAAGTATCGTTTGATACTTAGTTTTGTTTTATGTTTTGTTTTAAGTATCACTTTGATACTTGGTTTGTTTTAAGTATCGTTTGATACTTAGTTTTGTTTTATGTTTTGTTTTAAGTATCGCTTTGATACTTAAAGAGTTTTACCAAAGTGTATCGATTGATACCTTTGATTAGTTTCGTTCATGCTAGACATGAACAGATTTGTGTATTTAAAGACCGCCTGTTTCTATGATAGAAAAGGCGGACTTCGACAGACAGTATTTTAATATACTTGGTTGAACGGTTACTTCTTTGTTCCTCAGTCCGCCCTCGAAGCCTCCGTTAGTTATCAGCTCTCGGCTCCTCTCTGGAAGAGCAGGCCACCTGCCAGCTATCGTACCTTTTACCGTAAACGTGATCAGCACCTTGCGAACACGTTACATTTTTTTCACCTCAGCAAGTGGTTAAGAACCTGTCCCCGGATTTAGGCCTGATCAACTTATCAATATCCACCTCAGAACGCTAGCGGAGAGAAGCGGCAGAATTTCAGTATATTTGGCTTCATCTCAAACCCAAGATAGAGTCTTTGACGACCAGGAGTGGGAAGCAAATCCCACGGCAAGACCTTACAAGGAAGAAACAACCCCAGCGCTTCGCTAAAGAACCCGGCAATCCAGAAAACACGGAAGATACACAACCTCTAGGAGAATTCCCTTCTACTCCAGCAAAGAAGCCTTCCTTTGAACCTCCAATCGACCCCGAATCTAGTAGCGATTCAGATATGGCTAGCACAGGAGGAGGGCCATCTGGAGGAGGGAAATCTCGGGCAAGGCCTGAAGAAGAAGAGGTACCCGCAGCATTTGAACCCCCTAAGTTTAAACTTCACCTCCCAGCGAAGTTCACAGGCGAAGGGAAAGACCTCAAACCTGAAGCCTTTGACCGATGGGCAACAGAACTCTCACACTTCCTACTCTTACAAGGAAAAGATGTGGAAGACCCTACAACCGGACTTATCATTGGATCATTCTGTGAAGGAAAGGCGACCGACGCATACCACCAATGCTATAAGGACTTCGGCGGGAATGTAAGATTAAGAGGATCTACAGTTCTCGATTACTTGAAAGGACGATTCCAATCCTCTATAACCAATGACCCCCTATACAACAAATTCAACCAGCTCCAGCAAGTTAACGGAACACATGTCAAGCGAATCACCGATGTGGCTCCGGACCTAATAATGTATAAGGACCGAATGGAGAGAGGAAGTATCTCCAAATACATCCTGAAGCGACGATTCTATGACACTATGCACCCTACCCTCCGGCGA